TTTCCATTCATCTTAATGCGGAAAAGATAAACTTTCTTTAGTTATCATTTTTGCTCTATTACTCTTGCTCCATTAAATTAAAATATTTATATGCATCTTCAAAATTGCAGTGGCCAAGTTGACTCTCAAATGCAAATTACTGGGTCTATATTGCAACCAAACATCTCTGGAAATATTCAATTGAGCCGCGGAGAAGCATATCTACCCCATGATAAGGGTAGTGGTGCTGCTTCATTTAATAGAGTGGTACCAAACCAGTTTAGTCTTCCTGCTGGCAGTTCTAACCAAGTAATTGCTTCACCATTTTTCAGTTCAGAATCTACAGCACTGAAAACTAGATTCCTTGCACCCCGAGGTGATATTTGCATTTTCCATATCCATACCTTCTCGTTATGAATGAATTTCACAAGCATTCATAGTTTTTCTTGCTCTGACACCCTTGTGTCACAGAATTAGGGATAAATGTTAATGTGGATTAGTTTTTTGCTAACGGATTACTCATATTCTTTTTCTACTGATTTTGGACTTTGTTTGGTGGACTTGGTCTGACTTGAATGTAAAAATGTTCATTTTCACTGTTCCTCAAAGATGCCTACAGTTATAGCTTGCCCCTTTGACCACTAGGTCAAGCCAAAGTGCTCTAGGGTAACTTACTGGTATTAATTTGTATTAGCATTGATTTGGAGTCCTTTGTTCAAACTTTCAAATTAAATATTTAAATAATTCAACAAATTTTTCCTCTTCAGGAATTTTAAATAGTTTGACCTGTTACTTTCTATGACTTTATATGACAATTTACAAAAAAAAAAGTATATATATAATTAGTGAAAGTAAAAATAAATGTAATGTCTATTTATTTTTTTAATCTTGTATTGTTTATTTCGCTCCTTGGCAGATAAATCAGCTAACATTGAAAAGGAGTCCAGGAATGTAAACATTAAACCTAGTGTTGATGTACGCCTTAGTGATTTGAGAGTTGTTCTTGGACCAGAATTAAGAATTCTTTATCCTTTGATACTCAACTTTGCTGTTAGTGGAGAACTTGAGCTAAATGGGCATGCTCATGCTAAAAGGATTGAACCAAAAGGAACTTTAACATTCGATAATGGTGACGTAAATCTTCTTGCAACCCAGGTTAGTCTCTGTCTTATAATCATCTTCTTTTTCTGATTAAAAGAAACTGATATTAACCTTAATTTTTCAGGTAAGACTGAATCGGGAGCATCTAAATATAGCAACTTTTGAACCTGAGAATGGGCTAGATCCTATGCTAGATTTAGCTTTAGTTGGTTCAGAGTGGCAGATTAGAATACAAAGTCGGGCAAGCAAATGGCAAGACAAACTGGTGGTGACGTCGACCCGTTCTGTTGAACAAGATGCTCTCTCGCCCACTGAGGTAATTGTTGCTTGCTCAATATTTGAAGTAACAATATCAGGGAGGGTGTTGGAAATTCACCAGAAGGATAATTTGGCCTGAATTCGGCTTCAAAACCTCATATGGTTATAATATATTGCACTTGTGCATTATAGGTACTTGTCAAAGGTAAAATCAATTTAGGAAAGAACAGTTGTGAAAATTTGTAGTTTTCTGCCCTTGAGAGGGTGTTATTAGCTGAGGAGCTTAGAAATAGGGGTAGGAAACTGGTTTATTTTTCAATAGGAAATAGAAGACCACTCATTCTACAGTAAACCAAAGAAGCTTACAGATGATGAGGAATCCATCAGAAAGAGAGTCAAGGCTTAGTGTGATACATTTTAAGTTGCTCCATAAGTTTGATTTACAAGTATCCTGGACAAATCTTTTCTTAAATCTTCAGAAAATTTCTATAATATTTAGACCTCTCTCCAAGTTGTCATTTCTAGAAAAGGTTCCTGATTTGGGGTTTCTTTCCATTACTGACTGATGAAGTTATAGAAAATATCCTTTAATCTGGTGGTTCCAATCATTCTTGCAATCAACAGACTCTTTTTTTCTTTTTGATAAGAGACATCTTAAGGTTCACATTGTGGTTTTTAGGCAGTTTATTCTGATATCCCAATATTATTGGCTCAGGCTGCTCGTGCATTTGAGAATCAATTGGCAGAATCGATATTGGAGGGCGATGGCCAGCTGGCACTGAAGAAGCTTGCAACTGCTACACTTGAGAAACTAATGCCTAGAATAGAAGGAAAAGGTGAATTTGGTCAGGCTAGGTGGAGGCTTGTGTATGCTCCACAAATCCCAAGTTTACTCTCCGTTGATTCAACCAACGATCCTCTCAAATTGCTCACCGGTAACATCTCATTTGGTACTGTAGTTGAAGTCCAGCTCGGAAAGCGCATTCAGGTTCTACTTATTATTTGGCTTGCACACTCGAACACTATTCTTTTCTATTAATAAAGCCCCATTTAGTAATGATTTGATTTTCAATTTTCTATATATATATATATATAATAGAGATAACTGCTAGCAAACAACCATGAGCTCTGAAAACAAAATCATCAACAAACTTACCTCAAAGTTTTGTTTAGGAAGGTTTGGATAAATAGAATCGAGTTTTTAAATTATTGGAGGAGTAATACAGTAAATCAATGGCTGATATATAAGTAGAATTAACAAAATAGACCTGAATATTATTATTTTTCTTTTCCTGAACAAACCGACATGAATATTATTGCATCATTTGTCTCAAACTCACAGTCACATCTAAGTGGAAATTGAACAAAAGTAGGATGGTAAAATTGTTTAGCTCAGTAGATATATGGCTGAATGAGCAAATTCAGATTTTTGTACTCTTTAATAGAAGTTTCATATATATTTTTTTTAATTGTTAACTTCTTCATTGTTTTCCTTTTTTTTCTCCCCTCCCCGTCTTCCAGGCCTCCATAGTTCGGCAGATGAAGGACTCGGAGATGGCCATGCAATGGACGTTCATGTACAAGCTTACGAGCCGCTTGCGGATGGTCTTTCAGTCAGCTCCAGCTCAGCGAATGCTCGTACTTGTCGAATATTCCGCTTCATCACTGGATTAATTTTTTTGACTTGCCACCATCTTCTTCCAGACAATTTATTAAAGGTA